GGGGAGGTGGGGGTGGGGGCGAGCACAGCTGCAGCAAAGAGCGAGGCCCGACCGGGGAAAAGGGAGAGAGAGCCTGAGGTGGCGGAGAGCAAAGAGGGAGCTGCTGACGATGACACAGAGCCGATCATGGTATGGCTATGGGAGGGTGGGTTGGTCGGCGGGCAGCATCACACGACACGACACGACACGACACGCAATGTGTTCTGGTCTGGGTGAGAGAGAATGTATGTGTGTCGGTGTGTCGTCAACCGATTGCTCAGGATGAGCTGTCCAAGATCATTTCGGAGGAGCTGGCTCAACTGGCGCAGCGGAAGAAGCGCCAGAAGACCTCCGAACGGCTGCACATGCACCCACCGCAGCCGACCCCATACATCTTCACAGGCTCTGGCCTCCACCCCGGTTGCCCTCCTGGCAACAAGGTCAGTCAGTCGATAAATAAGCACACGAAACTTTGATTGCTTTGCATACCTGTCTGTCCGCCTGCTGCCAGGAGGAGAAGGCTCGGTTCCCTATGCCAGCAGTGCCCCCGTCGTCATCACCGCTCCCCTTCCCCTTGCCGCCGCCTCACCCCAACCAACCCGCCATCTCCCTCTCCCTCCCCACCTCCGATCACACCACACCCACAGCCGTCAGGTCATTCATCCCGCCATCGCCAGCACTGCCACTACCACTGCCACTACCAGTGCCGTTGCCGTTGCCCCCCCACACACCGCTCACCTTCCATCGGACGCCGATCGTGTCGGTGCCTGTGGAAATGAGGCGGCCTCCCTGCGCCGCCCCGTTCGTCTTCGCCTCTCGACCTGGCGATGGGAGGTACCCCCTGGCTGGCGCACAGCTTGGTGAGATGGCGGCCATGCTCAAGCTGCTCTCGGACGCGGCAAAGAGCAAGGCAGCTGCGGCTAGTGGTGGTGGTGGTGGTGGTGTGCCGACTGAGGGAAAGGAGAGGGCTGGCTCGGTGGCTGCGATGCCTCTGGCACAGCAGAGGGATGCTAGCCATGGATGCCCTGTAAGCACGCCACGCCATCCCACCAGCCGACCAACCAGCAGCCCTAAGGTCTCTTTGCGCTTCCCTTTGTCTGTCTGCTGTCTGTCTGTGTGTCAGGACTATGCCCGATCGGTGTCGTCTCTGTCGACGATCAGCGTGCCCCGCTCCTGCAGCAACGACAGCCTCCCCGCGTCCTTCGCATCCCCGCCCCCATGCCCCTCTCACCAACACCCCGACAACACCGGGACCACCACCACCACCGCCACCAGCGGCAGTCTGCACGTGCTGGAGACGTTGCAGAGCACGGTGCAGGGTGAGCTGGTGCGCATGCAGATGGAGAAGGAGCAGAGCGACAAGGGCGGCAAGGGCGGTGGAGTGGAGGCGACACACGGAGGGGGAGGGGGAGGGGACGGGCTGTCGAGCGGCAGCAGCTGTGCGTCCTCACCCACTGGGTGATCGATCTATGTGACGAAGAGTATCTGGTTTGGCTGGCTGATGGCGTACACAAAGTGGCGTTCCGTGCTCTTCTTCCCTTGCTCACCTCTGTGTTCCAACTCCCTCAGCGATACTGTGCACTGCAGCGCAGAATCGCGCTGCTCGCTCGCTCAGAGTGGCTCTGCATTGCACTGCACGAGATCGTTGTCCATGGTCTATATATAGACAGAGTTTTCCTTACCTTTCGTGTGTTGCGTATTGTGTGTCCATCGCATAGTTGCTCGCCTTTTTCGTCCGTTCGTTTCCTTCTGCCTTGCTAATTTCTGCCTCGCCCATAGAGTTTTTGTCTAGTATCTCTTTGACCTGATTGATTATCACGTATTTGTGACGGCTTCACGCACACACACAACGGGTGTTGGCTTCCCCTTCCTCCTCTCTCGGCCGCTCTCTCTCCCTCGCTCTCTCTCCCTCTCTCCCTCTCTCGGTGGGCCTTTTTGTTCCCCGCTCGACCCATGCCAGCCATGATGCAACACAGCGCAACGCAGCGCCTCAGAGGTGCTCTGCTGGTTGCTGTCCATCTCGCTGTCTCTTTCTCCGTCTCCCTGCTGCCTGCCTGCCTGCCTGCTGCTATACGTCGGTCGCTGATGTCGAGCGGTGAGGGCATAGATCGCATGTAGGTGGTGGGTGCGTCTTGGTGGGAGAGATTGTCGTGTCTTCAGCGAGCTTTCTTTCCCTCATGCATAGTACGCCCCAGGGCCCCCGTGCAAGCCATCAGTGTGCTGTGCGTGGTGAGCAAATGCATTGCGGGCGGGGCGCAGTGGGCACACGGGGGTCTCGCAGCCTCAGGGTGCCCATCTTCGCAGCCTCAGGGTGCCCATCTTGTCTTGCCCAGTTGTGTATGGCGTCGTTACGTAACCTGGTTGCTGTCTGTCTGTCAGGTGATTGATGGTCGTCACGCATTGTGATGTGGGCCTTTTTGTCTACTGCCTCCCTCTCCCTCTCCCTCTCTCCCTCCGGCGTCGTCTGTCAGCTGTAGTCCTTCCCACATTCCCTAGTGTCCCTCGCTTTGACTGTAGACTCACTCGTGCATGTCGTTGACTTATACATCCGTCCGTATGTATCTACGCGACGCGCATTCAGTGGGCGAGATCCCACATCAATTGGGGCACACCATAATATATGTTATCCCACACACGCACGATTGATTACACGTACCTCACCTCCACACAAAAACCACAACACAAACAGGGAGGGTGTCTGTCGAGAGGCACCCAATTCAACGCACGAGAAGCAAGCTCTGACACGGCTGGCTGGCTGGCTGAACGATCAGGCAGGATCCAGGCACACAACACGCCTCCCCCCCCCTCTCTCTCTCTCTCTCTCTCTCTCTGACACACGGATTGAAAGGACACTTGACGCATGCACGCTCACCATGCACTCTAGCCACACACGCACACACACACACACACACACAGAGAGAGAGAGAGAGAGCGCTTTGATCCGACATTGGACCAATCACCCCCCCACCGTCATATTCACTAGGAGCCAAAAATGTCTTGGCTGCCCCCCTCCGCCCGTCCTCACCCCATCCTTATGTATCATCATATGAAGGCGCTGCTGCAGTGAGTGCGTTCACATTTCTATGGACCGGCCGCAGCCAGCACACATAAACAGACAGACAGACAGAGAGGCACATACACACACACAGTTAGACATGAATGAACGAGGCACAAGAACAGAGTAGCATGTCGATGGATGGATCGATCACTCACTCAACCATTCACGCATCCACTCATCCACTAACTAGCCAAAACCCAACGACGCGGTCCCGCCCCCGCCCCCTGGCTGCAGATCCATCACTGTGGCCCTCTCACCTACGATGCTCTTCCTCAATTGCTCAAGTGCAGACGCAATGCCCTCGTCAGGCCCGCCCGTCTTAGGCCTGCCGGCATCCTTGTCAGGGCCTCGACCGCCATCCTGGCCCCAGCCTGCCCACCACTGCTGCACACTGCTGACGATTGACTTGCCGGCAGCGGCGAGCGCCTCAGTGGCCGACAGGGGTGCGGTGGCGACGCTCTGCCGATGCAAGTCCACCACTTTGGGGTGGCTGGCAGACGGGCGGCTGACGCCCTGGCGGCACGCGGCCGCATAGGGAAGGAACCTGCAGACAGACAGCCAGACAGGCAGAATGAGAGATGCTGTCGATACACTTGGTGTGCATGTTCATGGTGGTGAGGAGTACATTTCTGTTGCGGCCCAGTTGTGGAGGTTCTGCTCGGTCTGTCGCTTCGACGCGTCGGTGAGCGGCTTGTCCATCGTGGACGCCTCAACGCGGCCCAACTGATGGATGGATGGGATGACACACAACCACAACCGCCACCAGCACCTTGAGTCTGGCCACACGATGGACGCTGCAGTGTCTGAGCCTAACCTCGCTTTGGAGCAGCTCGTAGTTTTCGAGAAGCAGCTGGAATATCTCTGCGGCGGTCTCCTCCGACAGCTCGCGGGCCAGCACCTCTTCTGCCACCTCAACCATGCTCTGACAGCACACCGCAGACAAGTGACAGACACAGTACAGTGGGATGACTTGACTGACTGACTGACTGGCAGCCGTCCCTCCCTCCCTCCCTCCCTCCCTCCCCCGCTCCCCCTGCCCTGCCCTCCCACTCACGCACGTCATTGAGGCTCCTCATATCATCGAAGTCGCGCAAAGTGAACTCCAGCCTGTCGCCCCTCCTCGACACCCGCCCCCCCTTCACCACACGCAGCGGCGGGCTCAGCAGCGGCACGCTCCTCATGTCGTGCTTCGGCCGGTAAGAGTCGAGGATCTCCGTGACGTGCCGTCGGATGGGCTCCCACGCCACCTCCACCCCATTTCCGCCCCAGGAGCACCGGACGTTGTGTCCTACAATCACTGACTTAGTCTCTGCCACCGCCAGCCGACCCAATATCTCTTCGTTGACGTGCTTGAGTGCGCGCAGCTTCGGCAGAGGGAGAGCCTCAGAGCCAGGCGGCCGGTAGCGTGAAGGAGGCATCATCGGCTAGGGCAGTGCTGGGTGGTAGGGAGGGCTGGGATGGGTAGATGTGGCTTGGAGGGGCATCAAGCACTTGGAGGGGCTCCCATCAGCGTCGACAGCAGGAGAGATTCGCCCAGATTTGGCTCCTCTCCAAGCGAGCTTGGAGCCAAGCTCGCGGTGGAGAAGGCGAAGCAAATCCATCGAATTCGGCTTTGTGGAGCCCTCACGAAGTGCCCTTATCGCTTTCTTCTGATAATCGTGTTTTACTGGTGAGTTAGATGAACTGAAGTAGCTGCCGAATCGGATGGATGCAGGTGCAGCAGCAGCAGACGTCACGGAGCAGCCGGAGGAGGCAACGCCACCTGTCACGCCACCTCAGGCCAGTCCAGCAGCACCACCACCAGCAGCAGCGGCCGATTCCACTGAAGAGGAAGAGCCGCACACCCCTCCCCCCCGCAACACCAGCAAGCTTAGTGCCAACTCTCTGGATGCTGCGGGCGGCGCGGATGAGGAGCCCTGCACCCCTCCCCCACCACCGCAGCGCATGCCGTCCTCCCCAGGTCAATATGGCGAAAACCCGCCAGACCTCGGCCCTTCGCCCGTGCCGGAGGAGAGCCGTGACGACCCGACGCAGCCGACCGAGTTGGAGCACTGGCACACGCTGGACATAGAGCGGCTGTTTGTGCGGAAGAACAAGGTGCGCGAACCGCTGTATCGGTGTCCGCTGTGCGACGTGCGGACGTTCGAGCCGGCGGTGTATGATGAGCTGATTGCGCACTATCGGGATGTGCACTGGAGGGAGAGGGTGAGGATCGGTGAGTTCACCTGCTTCCCGTGCTTGAAGGTCAGCACTGTCACTGGGGGAGGGAGGGTGGGGAGGGGGTGTGCTGCACTGCACACACACGGGGATCGGATCTACCTACCGGTAATGCCTCCTCTCACTCATTTGATTTGCCTGTTTGTTTCTTCTCTCGGTTTGTGTGTCTGACATGTCAGCCTGATTGTAACTTGCCGCCCTTGGAGGATGCTGATAGTGAGAACGCCCCTATCATTCGCCGCAGGTGCGTGTCTAACCGACACCACCACGCACACAAACACACACACACATGCACACACACAGGCAGGAGTACGTGTGTAGCGCTTGGACAAACATGCCCTACCACTGTGTGTGCAGCGGCCGCATCAACAAGAACCCGCAGTTCGCAGGGCCGCCCCCCGCGCGTCACTGGCACTGCCCCCTGCAGGCAGAGGGCTGCGACGCCCAGTCCTACGACGTGGCCGACCTGCTGCAGCACTGCAAAGAGGCCCACGCCGGGACGAGAGCGGACCCCGCCATGACGGGCGGCCAGGCGGCCCAGCGGCCGGGAGATGACTATGAGGTTTTCGCGAATGCGGTGAGTCTTCAGAGTGTGACGAGAACACACACGCATAGACACACAGACAGACAGACACTGGACATGTGGATGGACTTCTGTGGTCCGATTGTGTGTGTGTGTGTGTGTGTAGGAGGATGTAGCTCGTGAGTTGCCGTCGAATCCTCCGTCGGAGGAGTGCGCCTGGCGCCGGTTTGAGCCCGACACACCCGCTCCGCCGCCCAGAAGAGGCCGCACCCGATCACGTAGGGGTGACAACTGCATGGGATGACTGCCTGCCACTCCCTCACCTTTCCCTGTTTGCTGTGTTGTGTGTGCTGCACGTGTGTCGTGTCAGGTACCCGTTTGCTGTCCCCCCCTCCCCCGTACGCCCCCTCGCCCGCCACAGACCCGAGCGACTCGGACCAGGAGGTGCCCTCTCCCGACCTGCCATCGCCCTCACCCCCACAGGCATCTGCATCTGCGTCTGCATCATTACCCCCATCGCAGCCACAACAACAGCAGGAGGACCAGCAGCAGGAGGAGGATGGAGAGCCCCCACAGCCACCGCCCGACGAAGAGGGGGAGGATGGTGGCCTTGACGGCCGTGACAGCGATGCCCGTGCCGATCGGCACCAGGACACGTCGGCGAGTGATGCGGTGATGGAGGTGTCATCCCCTGAGGTTCAGCAGGCCGTCCCAGAGCCACCAGCACCACCACCACCACCAGCAGACCCAGCACCACCACCACCAGCAGAAGCAGAGGCATCGGTAGCTGCTGCAGCAGCTGCTGATGATGATGAGGCGCCGGCAGCGGCTGCCATTGACGGAGAGGCGTCGATGATGGGCGATGGATGTGGTGGTGGCGACAGGGGCGTCGAGGGTGGCAGGAGGGGCATTCTCAAGAGGGTTGGGGATGCGCCCAGGGTGATACAGGGAGGACTCAAGAGGAAAGTGGGCTTCGACAAGCAGGTCAGTGGGTGCGTCCCGGAGTGGGTGAGAGGAACGCACTCCGAAACATTGCAGCATGCAGCGATGGGTGGGGATAGCCGGGGCGGGCAAAAGTGTGTGGTGGTGTGTGTTTTTGCGCCTTCTTCTTTCAGGTCCGTGTCCGCCACTTTGATATGCAGCTTGCTAGACTGGAGAAACTCGGCACGCGATCAGGTAGGTCCTTCTGTGACACAATCAATCCATCTGTACCATCCATCCATTCATCGCTTCCTCTGGCCCCACACGCAGGTCCGATCGACCTTGACGACGAGAGCGACAGCGAGGAGGACGACGAGACGTGGCGGCCCCGCGCCAAGGCCAAGAGCAAAGCCAAAGCCAAAGCAGCCAAGTCCAAGCCGAAGGCCAAGGGCACCCCCAAGGGCAAGCCACGGCCACGCACACCAGCTCGCTCTGCTCGGGGACGGCCCCCTCCCTTCGATGACGCAGCACACGAGAGCCAAGACGAGTCCGACGAGGACGAAGATGCCCCCCTGGCCAGGCCCAAGAGGACCCCCCGCGCCAAGGCTCAGCGTGACCGTGCGGCGGCGGCGAAGGCCAAGAAGAGGGGCGCCAAGGGCCGCGCGGCCAGTGCGTCAAGTGCGTGCGGTGATGACGACATCCTTCCCCCGCCCGTCGACCCGCAGCCCATCGATGTCGATCAGGACTTCACCTCGCCGCCACCGCCTTACGAAGACCGAGACGGCAAAGAGGGAGACGATGGCAGGGCGGGGTCGCCACGAGGTGTAGGTGTCAAGCGGAGCCGACCGCGCGACACATCGACGCCGACCAACGGTCTGTGCGAGCGGATGGAGGCGTTGCAGTGCGGAAGTGGGGATGGGGCGGGTGATGATGGGCAGGCTGAGAGGGATGAGAAAAAGAGGGAGCCGCGGATAAAGCGGCGTCGTGTCAAGAAAGAGACCAAGGACGACGCGGCAGCGATGGACGAGGGATGATCGTCGTCAGGTGTGGATGGATGGATGGATGGACAGATGTCGGAGGTTGGTTGATGTATAGCCACACAGACAGACAGACAGACAGACGGTGGTCCGATTGACTGATAGATAGGCTGGCTGCGTCGTGAGTGAGGCTCGCTGCTGCAAGTGCAGCAGAGACAGCGGCAGACTTGCAAGGTGTTACTCGGTCTCTCTGTGTGTTGCCACCGCATAACACACACTCAACGTCAACCGACCCTCACGACTTCTACACACAGGCAAACAGACAGGCGGACCTACACACACACACATGCACATACACGTGTTGTCCATCCATCCATCCGTCCGTCCATCCATCCATCCATTCCTCACCCCAGCTGCTGAGTTCGCAGTCGGCGCTATCATCGGCGCAGTCGGCAAAGCTTTCTCTCGCCCCCCACAGCGGAGGCAAACAGAGGTGACGGAAGCTCGGCCGCCAACACCACGATGATCCACAACACCAACAGCCGCGCCGCCATCTTGAAATGAGGAAAAATGTGTCCGGTCGGCCCTTTCACGACCCCCCAAAAGCACCAGCTGGGGGAGTGCTCTAGGCTAGTTTTTCTCCGCGCGCGAATCGCATATGGCGGATGGCGTAACGGACTTCATGAAAATGCCCTCCTGGAAAGCGGAAACTTCGTGTGCTGATACTGAGCTACATGACGGCTCACCGAGATGTCTTTTCGGAAGGAGAAAAGCTCGTGCATGCATCGAAAGCTCGCCTTTAAGCTCGCAAGTAGGATGAGTGTTGCGGCGTGGTTTTGACACAGGCGACGAGCCAGATGAGCCAGACGGCCTGTGTGGTCGACCTCTCTCTTCCTCGTACAAGGTCCCACTCGCCTGCCCGATGG